TAGCTTCGAGGATCGCCAAAATTGGAATCTATGTACCATATTATGTCAAAACATAAATTAATTCGATTTTCTGATTTTTACTTGCCTTGCAGTTTATATTTTTGAAGAACTCTCGCAATAAGTAATTTTAATTGGGCTAAAAACATTTTAAAATATGTTTGGCGAATGTATTTGCTACCAAGCTGATGCAAAATCATATTGGGACATTACCATTGTTGTACGACCACAGTAGAAAAATATTTATTCATTTATTTATTACAAAACATAAAACACAAAAATTCAATAATAAAAATCTTATATCTACCTCATATATGTAAAACATCAACTAAAATTATTCGTTTTTATTTTTTAGGCTTGTTGTTGAAAATTGTTTTTATATAAAAAATCAGTTTTTTGATGTTTCGGCAAGTTGTGCTATTTCAAGAAATTTCTGTCTAAAGTGTTAGATGTGTCGACCATTCTGGTTCTCGCGAATAATCTGGATTTCAGTACGGTCTGGATGAAAAAACAGTTACATTTGTTATTTGTCATGCTTTTTGACCTATTTTAAAGTCATCAGAGCAAAACAAACGTAAAAATTGTTTCAATTTTTTTTAAGACTGACTTGGTCTCAACATTGCCAAAGGCTGACTGACCCTGGGCTGTTGGGGCTGAGTCAGTCTTAAAAGAAATTTGAAAGAATCGATTAAAAACTTAATTATGCCAATGCAATGCCAAGGACTTGCATTATTGCAATCTGTACAGTATTAAACAATGGAATGCATTTATGACCAGACCTAAAATAGGTCAAAATTTTGGTAGATAACTGATTTTTTTAAATTCTAGATCATTCATGATTTTCAAGAAAAGAAAATATAAATATTCTATAAAAACTAACAAGTATAATAAGAAATTTCTTAAATTTATTACTTCTTCTTTTTTTCTTTTTTTTAATCGCACCTTATCAGTATTACAGAAATCAATAGTACTACAATTATTACCAATAGATACAATTCTAGAAATGCCAGCGTGTAATAAATAATTATATTTTTCAGTTTGTAACTGCAAGTCAAAAAATTTCGAATATTATGAGTGCTAACATTGAAGGAGATTAAGCTTGACAATTGAGAACTGTTGAATTTTTAATTAATAAGGCTATATGTTAGCTAGGCGCAAATGGTGTGGGTGTGTGAGCATAGACTGTCGGTTGGTTAGTATTATGTATGAATACATGCAGTGTGTTAGATAGGCAGGCAAGTCACTGAGTAATATTAAATCCACGGCGGCTGCCCTACTTTTATTTATACATTTGAAATATTCTACTCTGTATGAATGTATTTATTAGCCTGAATAATGGGAGGACGTCGCGGTTATGACTCTGCCGACTTACCAACTGTAGTTTTGTAAATAATATTTTGTACACTGGCTTTAGGAGTTAGGCTATTTCTCGCGTCAGCATCAATGTGTAAACGTAGTCATGGCCGTGATATTGAATTAGGAACATACAGCTGCGAGTGGAACGGTCGATCATGTATTGAGACGATATATCGAGGCCGGGATCGTGTGAGTGCACTAGTGGTCCGTGACGTTGGCGTTGGCTGAGGTCCGGGGGCCGTGTGCAGCAGTTGGCCAGTATAGCCAAGTCGGCTGTGTTGAGAAGGCGAGATCCAGGCTAATGCTGCGAGTACCCTTGCTGTCGTTGTTGTTGTTCCATTAGTGATTGGAGAGAGCTCATCGGGTAGACGAGTCTTGAGGTATGATGTCGTGCAGGGAGACTTAGTAGGGAAGACGAGTCTGAAGTTAATGGAGCAGTGCCCCAGCTTATATATTAATGAATTCTACTCTGATTGGCTGCAGAATGAAGGGCGAAACCATTCCATAACCGTAGTGGCACCTAGCGGGTACCGTGGTAACTGCAGGTGGTCACCACAAAGTGTACATATATGTTCATACCCGATATCCATGGAAAGGATTTTTAGTTTAAAAGCCTTAAAATTGTATTTTTTACACTATCAAGTATTTTCAAAGATAGTTTTTATTTGATGACCAAACAGGACTAGCAAACTCAAATGTATACTCTCTATAATATGTTTGGGACAAAGCCCGCGTATGTTTGCGTCAAGCAGAGAAAGGTAGCTCGATTTGTCTCACCTAGTTGAACGGTGCAATTCCTTGTATGAAGAGAGCGTAAGAATATCACCTATATCATAATTATGCTTAAGTAGTATCTAGATCCCCTAGACCGATTTTGGAGGAAACAGGATTGTTTTATTGTATATACTACTGATAGTTTTATGGCCCTAGCAAATGGTGAAAATGAATGTATTTATTAGCGTGAATGTACAGTGTGAAAGGGCGATGGCGTAATATTGAGTACCCAATAGGCCCTCAATTAAGATAGTTATGTAACATGATGGAGTGATATGTAAATAGGAAAGCGTTTGGGGGGCTGAATCTGGAGAGTGACTTCGTTGGAGGCTGAAATAACCTAGCCGTTGATAGGCCTGGAGCAGCTGGTCTGCCAGCACCTGTGGGGTGGCTGATTATCGAGACCTGCAAGTAATTTATTGTAAATTACGAAAGCTGGGATAGGTGTAAAGAGTGAAGAATGTATTTAAGAGTGTGGAGTGTGAATTGGTTTATATTTAGAAACTGATTGCTTTCGGTGCTGAATTGACCTAGCTGTTGACCCTCGGTGGCTGGACGTATAAGACCCAGGTCTGACCCCACACTGCCAACACCCGGGGTGGGTTATTCTCGAGGCCACATACAAGCTGGAATTGCCAGAGGACTGCGAGGATGATAGGCTCAACTCTGTCCATGTGCAGATTTGAGCTTATATAAATCCAAATTCAGATCTTTAATTTGATCGCAATTATGTAGATATATATGTCTTGTAATTTATATTTATGCAGAAACGCCATTGAATGATGTTTAAAAGTATAATATATTGAATAAATTGTGTTGTAAAGTGTGTAGTATCTATTAGCGAGTTGGAGTAAGGTTAGAACCTAAAAAGTCGTAGACTATCTGATCTCTGTAAAAGACAGTTCGTGAAAATTAATTTGTATGCTCTCGCACTCTCTTCACACTCTGGTTGGAAAAGTGTGCCGAACTGGAACGTTTCTAAAAGTCTCTAAAACTTTGTTACTAGTCCTCTGGGTTCCACAGACAATGAGCGGAAACAAAATTTGAGACAAAACAGTAGAAGCTGGAACGTGCCAACCAGTTGGAAATTAAAAGGACGTCGCACCAAATCGAAAAGAAGAGTTTTGAGTATCTCGATAAGCAGTCTGAAGGCAAACTGAAATTGAGTGACATACCACCCGATACAAAAGTTGTTCTTGGACCCAGCAACGAGATTAGTCCGCATTTGAATTGAATGAGCCCAGTCCTTGCCCAGAATCGCCTTCCAAGACCGTTTAATTTTGTATCCCCTTGATGCTGATTAAATCGACCTATGTCAAGAGTCATCTACGTCTTTTTTAAATCTGTTTTGCCATTCGTCTTGTTTTCGAGGATTTAGCAATTTATATTATTACCTAGTTGTTATTGCTTACAGGTTATTATTTATTAATACTCTTCAAGATAGTTTTAAGTAACATTAAAATAAATTTTTAAAAATATTGCATTATTAAACAAAGATTTTTACAACACATTTTATCTTCGGCAGACGGATCTTCAGATCGATGTCGCATTGGTTCTAATACTTCACGCTATAATTTTTAAATAGAACGTATTTTCTATTCAGTTCTATTCTAATATAATTTCTCAAGCTTTGTATGCGAGATGCTTTAAATTTGCAGGAATTTGCTTGTACTGTTTAAACCGCTCAGTATGACGAAATATAGGTATAAAAGCTTCTTTTAATTTATTCTACGTGAACTTTACGTTGAGGCGGTTAGTTTCAAAACGGCTCAATTATGGTTTAGATATATTTTTTTAAATTAATTTTTATAGGGAAGAAGGAAGGCCTCCATTGTATTATTTCCAGGTTGCCAAAAATTTAAATTTAAATTTTGGATTAGGCTGGTTTTGAAGCAATCTGTTTAACTAATTATTTTGGCGAAATATGTTGAAATTACTCTCAATTTATTGGTCCTAGTCCCACCTATTTTCGGAATCGTAATTTAAATTAAAAAACAAAACAATATTCTGATTTCTTAGGTAGGGAAAAAAAAGTAAAATGGAAATATTGATCTAAAACCACTAGTGATCTAAACCCATGAGTTTGGAAGCATTTTTATACTGGGTTGAGTCGTTTTTGTTCAAAACGTCTCTCCTAGTGATGCATTGAGAACTTGTGAAAACTAAAAACGAAATGTTTTACAAAAAAAAGTGGATTAAGCCGGTTTTCAAAATAATCGCCTCAGTTATAAATTGCCGTAAAGAAATTAAACTTCCCAAAAAGTATAATGTAAAAAAGATTTTGCGGTCCGTCTAGTATCGCGGTATTTCAGTCTTTTTTCCTTTTGATTTCTGTAACATCCAGGTGAAAAGGTCAGAAGCCGAGTTCAGAGATCACACGACAATCATTTACAATAAATAATTTGTTTAATTTCAAAACAAAAATTAACTATTTAATTTGTTTTTCCAATGGTTATGCTAATTATTTGTTCGATTAATTGTCTGGAAATAGATTTAAAAAAACTACAGTGGTTTAATGAAACAACACCTTTAGGTCAATTTTGTAACATAATTTATTTTAAAATATCTTCTCACCTGAGCGAAGAGTATGCCCAAGAATTTCCCAAGAATATGTCCTGTCAATTTTGATTTCTTAATTTGAAAATACGCAAAAATAAGCGAACAAACAACCAGTTATGGGGTGGACCACTAATTTAAACAGTTTTCACGAATATTTGGTCTTCGTATTTTACACGTCCGCGTCGGAAGATCGTCTCGAACTAGGAGGCTGGCAAGGCCAAGGTTCTCGTCTAGTTTCGCTTGTCCGGGAGCGAATCAGCCTCCCTGGCCCCCTCTCTTTGGCGAATCTTCACCTTCGTTCTCCAAGAGAATAAATATGCCTTTTAATCTTCATTCGACGCCGTCAGTTATGAAGATTAGCATCTGTGCAGTCCTCCTCGCCGTCCTCTGCCAGGGCGTCCTCTCTGGATTATCTCGAGACGGTATGGACGACTTTTTATAATTAACTCATTTCGAAATTGGGAAAGGAATATTTTTAAAAACCGTTTCCTTTTTGAACCTGTTGACGTCTGGATTATAACAATGTCAAAATAGTGACGCGAAATAAACCGAAATCAACGTTTTAAAATTAATGTCGCTTCCAAAGCTTCATTTTAGAACCCCTTCCTATTTTTAAAAGGTACTTTTATGCAATGCTACCTAATTTTTAAGGAAGTATGACCTGGAAGCTTCCTAGTAAATGATATAATCGAATCACAGAAATAATTTTTAATAAAATGGTGAAAACTATTCGAAAGAGAATATTTGATTAGAGTAGTTTTTCTCTACAATCCCAGTTAACCAATTTTTGTCAAACTTATTAAAACCATTAAATAAAAAGGTTTTATTGATAAAATAAATATGTTTATTTTAAAACAAACATCACTTACTTGAAATACAAACCACACTACACATTCACACTAATAAATACATGCAATTTCAACGCACAGAGAAAAAAAAACATAAGGCGAGATATCTATCAGTACTATACAACAAAACAGCTCTGTTTTCTCCAAAAACCGGAAAAGAGGACCATGCTCAAGAAAAATTTTCATATCGGGTTTTCATACTCGCTTTTTATATGGAGCCGAGAAATGACGCCTTTTAATTAAGTGGGACAAATCGAACAACCATGTCGTACACATATGCAGGTTTAGACCCAAAAATAAGTGCCCGTGCGTCAACTTCGGATGACTTATGCTTAATCGGGTGAGGATGAACTATACAATCCAGATCCTCCGAGGATCTATAGGCCGTGCTCTTGGTACATGAGATGTTTTCTGCCGATCTGGCCCATCGACGATCCAATTCCTTTTTTTAGTACAATTTTAGCGTCTGAGGGTCCGATCGCGGTGGTTTAGGTCTTCAGACACCTTTTCCGCCTTTTTGTTACCCTACATTCTTCAGGCCCGTGTTTCCCTGAAACTGGACGACCACTACCGTTTTGCCGAGACGTGCCAGTTCAAAGTGTCTTTCCAAGAAGAGTAGGACGAGAGGTCCACGGAGGACCTGCCAGAGATCAATGGTGAATTTATAATTTGAAATTCTGTTATTTCGCGAAAGTAATGTTATTTAAAAGATGTGAATTTAATGTATTAAGCACAGAAAACTTTTGTTTTGACTAACAATAAGTTTGGTTTTCAAAACATTGATATTGAGATTAAAGGAAGAGTGAAACAAGTAGTTTATGATTATTCGGATTATATGCATTTTCCCCCCCATTCACCACCCTACCGTATCTTAGGGAGACACTACACCGTCAGACACTGCAAACTAAAAATTGGGGGTGTTAAACAGAAAAGATGAAAATTTGGAGCTCATCGTCTTTCTCAGGCCTTGAATTATGAAGGTGAGGCTCGAGGAGTGTATGGGGATTTATTTGCCTTGAGTTTATTTATCTTAAAATGGGTTATTTTATTTATCTTTGTATTTTCATTTGTATTATATTATTATTTTATTTTCTACCATGTTTAATTCATTTATTTGTTTATATATATTTTTTTAGTTGATTATTTTGACTAGTATCTAGAACAGAATACTTGCAAAATTGAGGAAGGGAAACAAGGACAGACTAACTTTATGACCCTATAGCATATTTTACCGTTAATTAAGTAAATATATAAAATCAAAGACTCATTCTTAGAACTGACTTAGGGACTGACTATATGATCCCGGAAACATTCTTTACAACATCGTATAAAGACTCAACAGACTATAAAGGAGAGGAGAACTCAGGAGAGCAACAGATACAGTGATGTAGTGTACAGATGGCTCCAAAACAAACGAACCGGATCGGGTGTTTTTAGTACAAGTCCAAAACATGAGTAATCTAACTCATTAGGGAAGTACACTGCTGTCTTTCAAGCAGAAATACACTGCTTCCGCTCTAGAAAATCTTAAAAGATGTAACAATGGCAAAAAAGTCCTCATAAAATTAGATAGCCAAGCAGCTATTAAAGCATTAGCGAGTAAAAAAATCACATCAAAAGTCAGAGAATGCATCCAAAATCTCAAAAACCTAGGGAAACCCAACAACTTGGCATATCTTGGGTGCCAGGGCACAAAGGGATTTTGGGTAACGAAAAAGCAGACATGCTGGCCAGATGAGGATCTGCAAGACCATACATACCCGAACCTAATCTTGGGTTATCAAAAACATATACATAATCCTTCATCATAAAAAAAAACTCACTGCTGCAGTTAGAACGGGCCAGACTCAGAGGAGTGATACGGAACAGAAGTTTAGTTGCATGCACTGTTTAGTGAAAAGTATATACCACCAGATGGTTAAGTTACAACATAACTGTGATAACATCACATTAAATGCCTTGGAAGAAAATATTAAACCCAATCGCAGTTATTTTCAGGATATGTTACACTGACGCTGTAAAATAAATTTAAATGCAAGAAGTGAATAGTTGCGATTATTAATGATGCAGATAATTTATTGATAAGCATTACACAATTAGACAGTAGGACCCCTGTTTAACTGTATGATCCGTTTCAATTATGCAAGATCACAGAAAAACTTTTTAGACCTTTATCTAAGTAAAAAAGTAAGGGAAATCAAGCCATAAAAATATTTTAAAAAATTGGACACCATGTATTTTCTTGTTTATTTCAAACTATATGTATTTTTATAGTTATATTAATTACAACATACTTATTTTAATGTAAACCAAATTAAATGAGATCAGAAATTCATGAGTTTTAATTAAAAAATATTCAATTGTGGTGGTTTGAATGAAAAATCACCAAAACACTGGAAAATTATTTACTGGTAGAATTAATAAGTGATGGTCAAAAATTAAAAAAATATCACTGGCTCAATTAATTTATATTTATTAATAAATGAAGTTCAGATTTTTGGAACAATAATAATCTTAAATTTCTATTTCGGGCCTGTTGAGTAATGATGGCAGGGTAAAGATTATATGCATTGGTGGGAATTTTCCCTACTCTCCTTTTTCGTGAAGGCCCTTTTCTATTCTATTTTCCGTCTATTTTCATAGATTAAATAAAAAGCTTAACTCCTTTGATCTTACGATAAACGTGAAACAATTATTGTTTCTGAGTGTGTTGGCATAAAACATCATCAGTGGTGAAAACCGATTGAAAATATTCACAGAATTGTCTTTATAAATTGTATAATCAATGGATGTTAACAAAATGCTTAACTTTCTGGACTTTCAAACATTAATAATGAACGGATTTGGAAAATTTGCTCCTTGTGCTTGAATTTTGTTCTTCATTTGTATTAACCAATAATAATTTTAATTTGATTTTTAATGTTCCCTTGGTCCATAATTACAGATATATACTTACTTAAAAATTCTTTTGTTAATTGGAGGAAAAGTGTGGACATGGAATATAATTTGCAAACTGGTTAGAGCAGTAGAAAAAAATTAATGTTTGATTTTATCAAACCATCAGAAAACTTGTCAAGCTTGTTTTAACATTTAATGACCTCGTGGGTTATTAGTTGAAAAGGAAAATTTTCCTTATCCATTCTTTTTATATTTTGCCCTATAGTTTTATTTTATTTTATTTTTTTTTTCCAGTGATTGAATGTGTGCCCGGTCAACTTGTCTGGGTGCAATGCAACCTTTGTACTTGCAACAGGCAAGGAATACCAAATCAAGTCTGTGCCAAAATGTGGTGCCCGCCCATGCCGAAGACCACCACTCAAAACTCGGCGGAAACTGACGAATAATAACCTTACCAAACAAACAAAGGTTCTGTAAATTTCCCATGTATATGAAAAAAGATTATTGTAAATATAATTTTAAAATGTCTTTTGTTATTTATTTGTTTTACATTACTCTTTTCCAAATTACTATATGATGAACAATATGCATTTCTCCATTGTTTTGAAAATAATTATAAAATAATTGATTTTTCCACTTAACATCCCATAACCAACTAATGGTAATTAGTTAGTCATTTGGAATACCTATTTATTATTTATTTTAAAGGTACAAATAAGCCCACTTGTATGTAAATATTTTAGAAATAAATTTATTTTTATAAACATAGTTAAATAATAATAATAGCAGCAATAATAATAATATAATAATAGGAGATCACCTGACTATAAAACTTGAAACAAGCAAGAACTCCGCACCGGAAAAAATGGAAATTTAATAATGAAATATATAAGATAATACACAAAACAATAATGGCAATACATACTGTTTAAAATATTAATTATTTATAATAGAATGATGAAAACATATAACGTAAGCAAAGCAGACAGAGAAAAAATTAAATGGAAACGAGTAAAGAAAAGGATGAGGGAAGGAAAAGAGAGGATTCATGTCATTTTTAAAAATTCAGATGCCATGAACCAGAAACAAGCCAGAGAGGAAGCAGAACGTACTTCCCAGGGAAGCAAATTCCACCCTGCAGGGTAAGGAATATGGGGAAAAAGTTTATAGATGGTTAGATATTAAGGACATTTATTTGATTTAATTTTAAATATATACAAAATTAAAACTCTAAATTTATAATTATTTGGAAATCGTGAGATATGGTCTGGTGTGATGTAGGTTTCAGAAAAACATTTTCTTTATTGTGCCAACGTTTCGATCTTTACTGAGATCATCTTCAGGGCCTGGGATTTACAAACATTGTTTAAATTTAACAAATACATGTAGGATGTGGAAAAAAGTGAATTTATACAATGCAAAAAAATATTTTTTATATTCAATCGAAGTATTTCTACTCACTCAAAGTGTTTTTTTTTGCGTAATTGCAACCTTAAGAAGAAAATGTTTTTCTGAAACCTACATCACACTAGACCGCATCACACAATTTCTGAATAATCATAGACTAAACATCACTAATCACTACACATTTCTAAATTTATAATGTTAAGGTTGCTGAATGGGGGGGGGGCACGGTAGCCGAGTGGTTAGCGTGAGAGACTCTCGGCTCGTAGACCTCGCGGACTTGGGTTCAATTCCCACCGTTGCCTCTGGCCCTTTTTTCACAATACCCTTCCCCCAAAATGAATAAGCATAACATATTGTCTGGCATTGGCTAATTATGCATAGTACATAAAGCCATTAAAAAAAATAATAATAATAAAATTAATAAGGGTGGCATTGATATGAAGTTTATTGGAAATTAATAATAACTGGGATTTGTTAGTGTTTAAAAGAATGCCATTATTATTTGGCCATTCATTGAGAGAATGTAGATCGTGGTTGAGCAAAGAGATAGATATATTGCTTGTAGCACATTGAATATGAGTGGCATCAGCATATAAATGAAATCGGAAGAAATTAAGAACTAATAGAAGATCATTTAGGATCATGAAAAAGAGTAATGGTGCAAGCACAGAGCCTTGGGGCACACCAGCTAAAATTAAAAGAGAAGAGGAGGTAGAATTTGAAGCATTAACTCTCCGTTTTGTCAGATAGATGAGATTAATAGCAGTAGAAGAAAAACCGGAAAGATGTGTCAGTTTCTAAATAAGCAAATTTTTATTTACGGAACCAAATGATTGGAAAAATCAAGTAGAACAATAATAGTCAACTTATCAATGCCTAGGTGAATATCATCTGAGATTTGTCACTATGAAATTTTCGGAAACCAGATTGAAAAGGAGAAACGCTTGAATAGTGTCAAAAAATTGGCGACTTTTTCTTGATATTAAAACTCTCATGGGAGATAAAATTTACACTTCTAACTCCAAAAGGGTTGAGTTAGGCCTACCTACAAAATGGGACCTTGCTTTATATTTTAAGTATTGTTTTAAAATTAATGTTAACCTGGGTGGAATTTATCAACAAAATGTTTAAGAAAAGACAAACTCACCACGAAGAGTTGCAAAATGTCAAAAAACAAAATAAAATAGGATGATTTGAAATGACCAAATTAGAGGTTCATCACCCCACAAGAAATCTCACAATCTCTGCTATTGTCAACTGTCAGAAATTGGGTATTTAAAGAATAAAATATGAAACGTACATATGATTATATTTTGTGTTTTTTTAAATAATATATACAACATTCAAGCATATTACAGTGTAACCCCATTACAGAGGAAGGCCGTTATCACAAACACACACACTTAAAATATTATAAATGTATTCATATATAAATTTGTATTCAGGCTTTAATGCCACATGTATATATGCATTTAAATATATGATAGTGTATATAGTTTATAGTCCGTATTTATATATAATGTGTATTGAATATCAAAAAACACTATCCATTTCAAGTGAGCATTTTCTGGAAATAAAAGGACGTTCAACAATGAACAAGCAGTCTCACCGATAATTGAAATTGGCCGGATCGGCCTTGAGGTATTTCGCCTTACTGTTCAGTTCTGGTTCTGCCAAGTATGGCTTGTCAATCTCTTCAACGAGATTTTACATTAACTAAAGCTAACATCTAGCGCACTAACCTATAAACCGACTACTCCTGGACACAATCACAGTTTTTTTTTTGGCTGTTATAACAGGAGTCAAAATTGATGTAGCAGTTTAAAAAAAAATGTATATATAGTTTGTCTTTATCATCCAACTTTTCCATTCTGAAACTGTTTATTATTAAAAAATTATAGGATTAGTCGTAAGAGTGTAAGCTAGTTTGTGCATGTCAGTAATAAACTCTGGATAAAATACCTAAGTATCAAGTGCTTTAACATACATACAAGTACTTACTTTTTTTTTTTTTTTTTTTAAATAACGATGGTAGTTAATTCATGTTTTTAAAATGAATTAACAATGGCTGTTAATTCATGTTTTTAAAATATCTAAAATCTAGCAGTTTTAGAATGGAACTCTCTCAACAAAAGGTACATCATCTTAATAATAATAATAATAACAAAGAGTGAAACAATAAAATTCCAAAGGTTAAATTTTATTTGTTAAATTTTCTGTAAGAATGTTAGTTAGATACAGCCCCTAATTATAACTTACATAATTATCAGTATTAACTTAATAATTAAAAATTGTATTAGTTAAACCAAGACTTTCATTGTTAATTACGCTCATGCAATGTTAAAAAATTCCACTCTAAACTTCCATCAAGGTTCCAAGTTAACATGTGGATTATTTTCGTGATGTTAAGTATGTTTAATTGCCATTACAACATACTAGATTTTTTTGTATGCATAATAAAATAAGTTATAACGAATATAAATAACTTTAAAATGGATAAAAATAAAACAAATATCAAATTTAAAAATAGAACAAGGAAACTGTATAGATAAAGCAGACAACAGTAAGTGTAATTATTAAAAGATTAACCTTTGGAACTAGACTGAAACACTGGGCCAACAAATAACAATTATTTACACATAAGACAACAAAAGTGATGTTTTTTGTTTTTTAAATAAGATTTTGATTTTTTCTATACAAGAAATAACATATAATAGTAAGTTAATTTTAAAAGACCACTTAAGGCTTTTTATTGTAAGCAAAAATAAATTAATTAAATAAACAATAAATATATAAAACACGGTATAAACCAGTTTTATGATATACACTTTACTATAAAAAACTGATGTTTTGTTCCCATCTTTCTACAAGAAAATAAAATGTTAAAACAAAAAAAAAAATATTTTTTTCAACATAATATATTTTATAAAAATTATAAATACAAAAAATTAATTTCTGTATATTTAAATATTTTGAGTAGAATTATATTATATTACAAATATTAGAATTTTTAACTTTATATTACAAAATTTCACAATACCTCCGTGCTTGTACTTACAGTTGCACGAGATATTATATATTATATTTTGTACAAAAATGTTACTTTTCATACTCCCAAGTTTTTTCACATTATCATTATATATAAATAATTATTTATTGACATTTAAAACACGTTTTCCATTTTTTTCCGCCTCCCTTTTCAACACTATTTTTCGTTTGACAACTTTGCCTGTTGTCATGAGTAGCTCTTGACAGTCGTTTTAATGTTTAGCATTTTAAACGATGACTTATTTCTGGTAGCCTGTTATATGTTATTAATTTTACACTTGCTACCTGTCCAGCCTGAAAACAACAAAAACAACATTATTAGAATGTTTTCCATAAAGAAAACATGAAAACATTTACCTTCGCTACAAATCCTTCAGTAAAGCTGACTTCGCCGTCTTCAGTTTGTCCAGTCTCTTTTGAAGATGGTTGTTAGACGTTTCTAATTCTTCAACCTTAGCTTGAAACTCTCTTAACTAAAATAATTGAGAAAACATCTTAGTTGAACTTTTACCATCGAACTTCTAAAACTATCTTTTTATTTATTTATATTTTAAGAGGTAAAAACTGTATATTAAGAACGCACATCATCTATACTTTGACTTCCCAAGCATGTTCCTCCTCCCTCTAAAGTCCATCTATATATTAGAATAACTTATAGTTGGGGAGAAATTAAATTATGAAGAACTGACGTGGATTAAAGGGTAATGAAATGTTCATATTTCAATTAATTATTCTTTTTATGTAAGATCTTGGTTGAGATGAAAAAGTAAGTGTTACGAGCGGGATTCGAACCCATGACCTTCAGCTGCGTGGGTTCGAATCCAGCTCGTGACACTAACTTTTTCATCTCAACCAAGACTTACATAAAAATAATAATTAATTGAAATAAGTAATTTGGTCAATTAGACCACTAAATATAAATGGATTAATATTGTTCATATTCTCTTTTGGACATTCTACTCTTAATTACTTTGTTCATGCAGCTTTATTACGCTTTTTTAATCTGTTAATTTTAATTACAGCAATAAAAGTATAATACCGTATATATTTATAAGCCCTCAAAGCAATTGGTTTACAATGCAAATTTTCTTTATTCTACATTTGTTTGCCCGTTTCTTACAATATAATTCAAAGATTGCCTATTATAAAATCTATGATGTTGTAAGGTGCATGCATGCTAAATTGAAAAAATGCTGATCTCTTTGCTGAGTCTGACTACCTAATAATGTGATAAAAGTTGATCAGTTCAACATGCATTATAAAATCACTTGGAAATCTCAGATCAGTCATAAAAATCAGCTTAGTTGGAAAAATAATTTTCTACATTGCTTTATATTTTGGAAGTAGCCCAGAATTAATTTTTTTGTTTAAATAATAAAACGACTTCGAAGACCACAAAACATCCATATTTAATTTGAGATTTTTAACCATGACTTTTTTTTAATACATTATCAAAATAGACAAACTATAAATAAACTCTCAACACAACAGACAGGAATGACACATCTACACGGAAAACAAACACTTTGAGCCCTGAAGATGATCTCAATAAAGATCGAAACGTTGGCACGATAAAGAAAATGTTTTTCTAAAACTTATGTCACACCAGACCGCATCTCACGATCTCCAAATAATCATGTATAAATAAAGTATTTTATTTGTTTTATTATCTCTTATTCAAACTTTGGCACTAGCTGGCAGAAAGAAAATTAAATAATGATATAACTAACTGGGCAACAAGATAGACATATTATGATTTATTGTGTAATAGTAGGTAGTAAATTGTGTATGTCTAAAATACACCTGTTTCTTTTCTTTCTTTTTTTTTTTTTTTTGTTAATTACGACAGAATTATTTTAATCTAAACAAAATAAAATGAGATTAGAAATTCATGAATTTCAATAAAAATTCACCAAAACACCAGAAAATCATTAGTTAAATATTAACTTAATTAAACTACTAAATGATTTTCCAGTATTTCGGTGAATTTTCTTTCAAACCACTGCATTTAACAATTTTTTATTGAAATTCATGAACTTCCAATCTCATTTAATTTGGTTTACATTAAACTAATTCTGTTCCAATTAATATAACAATAATGTTAATAAACGTCGTTTGTTTAGTATATATGAAAACATACAAAAAATTTTAAACAGCCAATGACAGTAACCACTATTTAAGGCCCTCATTTTATATATTTTTATTTATATCTGATTTTTCTTTCTATCAAAAACCACGCACTCGGACTTTTTCATTGAGTAACAATTTTATGCTCTTTTAACTGCTCACAAAAAATAAATAAATAAAATTAAAATAAAATATAAAAAAACTGTATATAAATTCTCTAATTTGCAGTTCAAATGAAATTGTTCTTGTAGAAAAATCCTTTTACCTGCTTCTGAACTATTTAAATGAACTGTTGCTAGAAGAGGATTCTCAGGTTGGCTGAATGATGAAAAAAGCAAAACTTACTCAAAAGAACGGTGAAAAAAAGGATGCAGTAACCATTGTCTCCTCAAAATCAAGATACCAACCTTATATTGATGCGGAACATTTTTTTTAAACAACAACAAAAACCAAAATGTTAAGTTTTAAAACCATCGCACATACACTGCAAAACAAGATATTTAGTTAAGAATCTGAATTGTAAGACTTGGCCAAATCTGTTTAAATAGTGCATTACATGTCATTTCTGTTAAGAGTTTCCTCTATTCCACAATAATAATTGTCTAAAACAGTGTGTTTCTTAAGTGCAAGTCCCCCTTTTTAAAAATACAACCAAAGTTCATACGATTCAGCCTGCCTCGATTTTTTTTTTTTTTAAATTCGTTGTCCAAAACGAATGATCATATTTACAAACGTCATTTGATAAATTCAATCTATGTTATAAAAATAAAAAATAAAAAAAACAATAAAATGATAGTTCAAGAAAGGCCTCAGTGGTTATAATTTCACTTTCAAATTTCATGCAATCAATAGTGTGTAGTAGTTAGAAAGCAAAAAAATACTCTTCAAAAATTTAATTCTGAATTGTTAATTAATGCAATTATTAAAATAAAAATACAAGTTAAATCACAAGTAAAATAAAAAAATAAAAAATCGTTCGTGCAACATTCAATAATATATAGAGCCTTACCCTTATTACAATAATCCAAATTATGACTTACTGGGATGAAAACAAGGGTAAGAGCATGCATGAAATTGTGAAAAGTGCAGCAGAAGGAGAGGCAGATAAATTATATTTCAATTACAATATACAATAGAGTATTATCATAATTCTAAAGAAAAGTTTTGAAGTTTATAAACCGAGATTACAAAATGGAAAATAACATTTGCATTCATGCAGTGGTAATACAAATATTTGCTTATTTCTCTAAAAATACCCGCTAGGAAATCATGCAACCGCCAAGTTCATACGGTGGGGGGGGGGCAACTAAACTAAATATTATCAACTAATTATTTACAATCAAAGAGACTAGGGGATGCAATTCCCCGCATAGAATGTACAAAATTGAGAGAACATGAGAAATATACAAAAAACATAATACATTCCCAGACACATATTGAATATAAATTATAACTAGAAATGATACAATTATAAAGAGGATGTTTAGGCGCAGACCTCTCTCTGTAGTTTTCGCCTTTCAAGTTTCAGTTCATCTTCCACTTTCTCAGCCGCTTCAGCTGCTGTCTTATACCTCATGACTTGTCCTTCTAACCTTGCAACCTTAAAAAGGAAAAAGAAAAACAATAAGTTCACAGTATAATTGATTTAAAAAAATGTCTATACTCACGGTGGCTTGAAGTGTTGAAACATCTTGCTCTGCTTTTTGAAGCTTGAATTTATAATCTCCTAACTGTTTATTGGCTTCTCCTGTTAAATAATATATATTTTATAATATACTTTGGCTGTTTATTAAAAAAATAAATTATGCATTACTATACATTACAATAAAATTGAACATTTTTGATAAACAACATTAATAGTTGTGTTACAACTTTTCCAATCATTACATATCATTTTTACGTTAATAATGACGGGGAAGAAGGAAGCGTCTCTTATCTTGGATAAGAGTTATAATTTTTTTATTGATACAATTGTGTTGGTTAAAGGCTAATTTTAAAAAATGTTTTTAAAAAAAATATTAATTTTAATAGTAAAAAATTATGTACATAATTTATATTTCAGATAATGTCTATGTTTTCGTTTTCCTATGATGACACATTGTTTGAGCCGATGATCAAGTCTAAAATATCTATTTTTCTTCTTCAAAATATCGTGAACTGTTGCTTGTCAATTCTGAGGAAGGAGGAAATTTTTAAAAAAATTGTCACCCTTTTTTAACATTATTTTTTGTTAATAATTCTATTCCATTGTTATCAACTAATTTTTTGCAACATTTTGGCTAGCTGGAAAGCAAAGCAGAATTTAGGAAAGAATTTTTTTAGTAAACAAACAGCCCAGTAGTAAAATTTATAAAATCAAGACAATGTCACTCTTATTGTAAATAGCTCAAACTTATGCCCAAATAAATAAGCATACAAGTACATAAATCTTAAGCACATCCAGGTTAATTGAATCCTTGGATACTAGGGTTTCTACTGTATTATGTTTTCCTTACATTACAGTAGAATGTCTAGTTATTTTTATTAACAAGTGTTTACAAGATAACAAAACATTATTAACTAAACATTGGTAAAGAATTCAAAAGAAAAGTTTGCATAAACAAGATAGTGTAAATACATAAAATGGACAATATTATAAATTTGTGGCACAAGATAATAAATCATTAACATTTTTGGTATAAATCTACTTAAAAATAAAAACTTACGTTGTAATTCTTCGATGTCGGCAGGATTCGAACCGAACCGACTATTTTTCGATTTTTCTTCTTCCAATTCGAGTTTTACATGTCTTAATTCGTCTTGGAGTTCGTTTCGTTCTGCAGCCAATTTTTTCAATCGCACATCTGGTTATGGAAGAAAATAATAATTAAGAGTGTGGGATTACCCAATCTCTCTCACTCTCGTACACACGCATCTTACCTAAAGAGCCGTGACCTACTGAGTCTAAAAGTTTAGCCATATCTGAGGAGACTAGTGCTTTCCGGTGCTTTTCTCTGCCCTTGCGCTCGCCCCCTCCTGCATCATCTTCCTCGTCGCTCTCCGTTGCACTTGAAGAAGTCTCGCCACCCACTATCACCAATCCTTGTTCCTACAATCATTATTCGAAGAAAAGAATGTTATTAAACAACACATGAAAATGCATAACATTGAAATCATCTCATTCATTTATACTATTTTAAATCAAAGAAGAAAAAATTGTGGCAAAGAAATCAATGACAAACTTGCCACAAAAAGCCAAGACCGATGCCAGTACTTTTTTTTTATTGTTATTAAAAAAACATTTTCTCAATTTAACATATACAACACTCATTATATCTATTTTGCACAAACTCCAAAAAATTATTCTTATTTTGACATATATTTCTCTGCAAATTTGTTACATATTTTTTTCAACATTTTTATAAATTCACTATTTTTCGTGGTCCGTTTGACCAATTAATAACATTCAATTAATTAAGGTTTTAAGTTGAGATAAAAAAGTCAGTGTCACGAGCGGGATTCGAACCCACAACCTTCGGCTTGATACGCCGCTACTCTACCACTTGAGCTATCGTGACTTCTGACCAGTCGTGGGTTCGAATCCCGTTTGTGACACTGACTTTTTTATCTCAACTTAAAACCTTAATTAATTTAATTTTTATAAATTTTAGCATTAATGAACTTGTTTAGGGATGAATAAACATGTTATTGCAATATTTTTCTCTGAAAATAAATCACTATTTTAAATTGCTCAATTTGTACATGGTAGGAAAAAAAGAAAAAAAAAGAAGCCTTATTATACAAATTTCAAATGTTTCAGTTTTAACTTTCATATGTATTATTATTTAACACCATACGGTATTTACCATGGTGTATAATGTTAATTTACTTTTTGTTTTGTATACGTATCTTTTTGTTGTTAAATAAACATTATTATTATTATATTATTATTATGTAACAATTATCAATCCAAATTCAGAATTATTTTATAGAACTGGTGAAATTTGAACTCAATTTGAAGCGGTAAATGGTTTTGAGAGGGTATAATAATAATTATGTATAATGAGTTTTGCACCTCAATCAGTCGGTCTCTTTCTTGAAGTGCTGCCAAAGCTGCTTCGAGGTCTTTCTGGAGTTTTGCTTGATCCCTTTTATTCTGTTCTAGTTGTCTGCATTTTTCTTTATGTTCCCTCTAAATATAATTTTATATTTAACTTCAAAATTGTACAAAACTGTTTTAACAGTAAGGGGGGAAAAATTGTACCTGTAGTTGGTTGTGTTCTTCTTCTAATTCTTCGTACCTATCCTTATAAAGTTCCACTTGATACGCTGCTGCAGCTTTTTCATTGTCCAATTGGGCATTTCCTATCATGGCCCTCCTGAACTTGTCTTCGACCTCTCGAAGTTCACCCTGTAAATAACCGATAACATTATCAAAATGTGCAAAAGAATGTTTAGAACATTTGTTGTACGAATCGCCTCCAATTGCACCGTTTAAGAGATTATCAGCCTCTTCAGTGAGATAAAACTATGTGTAAATAATTTAATCATTTTATTTAATCAGTGACAACTAACCCGCACATCTCTGAGTGAAGTGTTTTCCTCCAATGAATCTTCAGAACTCCTTCGGGACGACTGGTAACTGTTGGAAGCAGAAAGTCTGCTATTGTTCAGCGTAGCTGATACCCTGGCTGATCTTGTAATCCCATCTAAAAATTAAAAAGCCTTTGTAAGCACAAAACTACTATAATTATAGTAAAATCAGGAATAAGGTAAAGTAAAACATTTCAAGTCTATTAACAATATTATTTGATAAAAATGTTATCCAATTGTACACTGGCAATCTTACTTACCAGGAGTACTGGGGTACATGTCATATATCCTGTCGGCATTTTCATCAGATTCTTTTTGCTGCCTTTCCAACTCTCTCATACGAATCTCCCTGGCCTCGGCTCTTGCTTGACGTTTTGCAGCCAATCGAGCTTCGGCCTGTAACAAAAATGAAACAAGGTGAGTTAAAAAAAAAAATAAATAAAATGAAAATAAAAATAAAGAGACAAGAAATACATTTGAGTAGGCTCTATGAAAATGTGAACAGTCAATAAGGAATTGGTTTCATAAGTCAAAATTAATTAAATACTAGTATAGATATAACAAGTTGAGAAATTACAAACATAATAATCCTTAACTGGCCTTTACTAGGTTTATGAAAAAATCAGGAAAAATGCATTTTGTACGTGTAACGTTGAGGTATCTCTTTTACAATTTCATAATTGACCCTGCCTGAACTCGTAGGAAACTGGTTATTTCTAAAATTAAATCTCAATTTCAGCTTCCAAAGATGCTTTAAATAGCACATTCAAAGAATTTTTAATTTGAATAACATGTAACCAAAAAGGAAACCACTTATTATAATATTTAATTGCTAAAAAAAATATAAATGGTGAAGATTTTATACATGTTTAAACTACAAAGCACATAGCTTTCAAATGTCACTGTGGTTTACATATATTGTGGTTTATATAAATAGTATTAAACATAATTTTTAGATTTATCTAATTTAACTGACTGTCTAATTATTTGGTTAAACCGTATTAACTAAAAAAAAATAATACTTTCTGTTCCGATGTAATGAATCTCTGCCTATGCTACAATTAAATCTCATCACAACTTCCAAAAATGAACAACACAATAACAGAAGAAATAAAGGAATAAACGAGCCTTGCTCTTGTTAATTGTCATTTGCTTATAGATGTTGGTAATTAATGGGTGGGGGACACAAGACCAACCCAGTTTTCCATGCAGTGCTCTTTGGGTAACACCTCAATGTTGCCGGCACCTCCTGCAAAGAATCATGAAGATTGAATAGCAATGTGGTGTTGAAAAAATAATGTATCAAACAGAGCCCTCAAAGAATTTGCCGACGTCCTATTGAATCCAGGCTTACCCTAGCATGCTTCATCTTATATCCCTAAGCTACATGTGGTAACTATAAAACAAAAACCAAACATCTGGGATAGGCCCAGAGGTCACCCAACCAGGAAGCAGTGCGAACCAAAATTCGTCCCAATATATGAGCAGATATCCTACAAGGGGCCATGACATAAGTCGCGATAGCTGTGGTAGAAAAATAATTGATGTTCAACAGTGCACTCACTGATGCTACAAGGTACCTGTGAGGATCAGGTCAGTACTGACTGGGGGGGGAGACCCAACGCTAAAGCCATGGAAGGATGCAGTCCTCAAGACTCTGGCGGGGGATGACACACCCAAACCAGTTGCCGGCACCACCTACATACCAGACTCCAAAACCGGGAACTGTATAGGCTCAACTCCCCCTTACTATGGAGGAAGAAGCAGACTCAGTAAGGGAGGCTGAGAGTAACACGAGCCCGCTCAAAAGGATACAACAAGGCCAACAGTAGGTAGAACGAAAGGAGAAGGATATCCCAAACAGGGGTACTCCACTTCAGCCCAATGATAGGACAGGTAGGACAGGGAGGAATAAGGGTACTTCAGGTCAACATCCTTTTGCCCACCATACAAGAGGTTTGAAGGGAGGGCCTGGATGTCACCCTGGTCCAAGAACCTTGGGTACACAATGGGTCTGTGAGAGGAATAAAACCCCAACAGACACAGGCAATATACCAAAGGACATCAACAACTACTGTAGATGACCCTGGTAAACGAACTCCTACAAGCATTGTAACAAGAAGAATAACAATAGTCTAGGCTATGCGGATGAACTTGCTTAGTAGTAGAGCCGTCATGCACACATTACGATAAATTGTATACAACAGGCCCTCAACTTGGTTTATAGGCGGTGCAAAAGGGAGGAGCTATCTTATCTATTAATCCCCACAAAACCATAATGATTCCATTTACAAGGAAAACCCCAATCCCATATTCCAAGGAGGCCAAATATCTACAGATCACATAGACCAGTAGCTTACATGGAGTCAATTCATTATTAAAACCACCCACAGAACCAAAATTGCCTGGGTGAAGTGCAGAAGGCTCTGTGCCAAAAACTGGGGATTAAACATCAAATGACCCTACAGCTATACACCTGCATCTTAAGACCAATACTGAAATGTGGTGTGGTGGGCCAAGGCCCTGCAGGCCAAAGCAATTAGGCTAATACTTGGCACCCAAAAACAGGCTTGTCTCAGTGACACTGGAGCCTTGAGTAGAACACTGGGGCTTTGGATGTGTTATTAAACCTCAGTACCACTCCATATTTCAGCACGGTTAGGCCATATAAATAAACTAATACCATACCACTAACACCAAATAAAATTTGTTACAGTTTTCCAATCTGAAATCAATTAATCAGTCAGGCAGCACTAAAGGCCCCTAGCATCATGCAAGGTAAAGGCAAAGGAAGGTGTTTGGAACTACATGGAGGCCCTGGAAAAAGTCTGTGACACCAATGACCTGACCCTGCTGAGTCCCCTAGGCATTCGGGGTATAGAGGCTAGGTTGACATGTTGGCCAAAGAGGGAGCTGACACAGACTCTCTAGATCTCGAACCTGTGGCCTGGCACCCTGCCACAAAAGAGGATCCCTCTAAAATGGATCCTTAATGTAAGTTTAGTGGAATAATACCTCAGACATGAGACGCACAAAGAGAGAATTATAGAATGGCCATCCGCAAAACTTACAAAGAAATTATTGAAAGGCACCTGCGACCAAACCAGGATTCTGGCCAGACAGAGCATTGCCACCTAAGGAAGGCACATGCACCGAATAGAAGTACAGGCAGAAGAAACACTTTGCAGATACTGCCAGGAAGTGGAGGAGGCTGCAGGACAAGGTCTCTAGGCAGGCGCAGATTTGTGTAAATAGGAGAGGAAAAGCTGCAAGCAAGATTGAACACTAAGAGCAGCTGGCAAGGCTTTGGAGGTTGAACAACAACCTGAAGATGGCCAGTGAGTTGTAAAAACCATAGGAAAATAACAGACCTACTGAGATGTCGAGGTGCAGAAGGCCTTGGGGCCGCCTCTTTTATCCCTATCCCTAGGTAATTAATGCCAAACTATGGTAACAGGTGTGACAAATAAGAAAGCTGAGTCATAAAAGTAGTTATGCACTCCATCTTCGTTGTAAATTAAATTATACAATTTTAATGGGTTGTAAACTAAATGTTAACATAAAACCAAAGAAATTGTATGCTGTTTGCTGTGCAGGAAAGGGCTACAATTTATGCGTCCGCCCTAAAAGTATTGTTGTTGATGAAAATTTAAATTTTAGAAACGAAGTGTGAGATTGAAATTGTTGTACCTCATGAGTCTGTAAGTCGAGAGCTGGCAGCTCTTCAGCATAGATGGGCTGCAAAATCTTGGAACAGACGACCGCCCCCATCCCAGAACAGGTGGCCGGCCCTTGAGAAAAACTGAAGTTCGTACAGGATTTCCTAAGAACTGTTTTTATGCCGATTGGAGTCAAACGCCGGTGTCAATTGATTGCTCAATAGTTAAACGATAGACCGGACCGGCTCCAATGACTAACTTTTCTATCGACTGTAGATAAAATGTTGTAAAGTGGGGAAAACCACTCGCAATCGGACGAAAGTACAAAAAAGATAAAAAGCTATAAACCCAAAGGTAGATAATTAAGAAATATCGTATGTAAACAGGCTTCAAAAAATAATAAACTCAACTATGACGGAATCGCTTCTTAATTGGCCCAAAACAAAAATAAAATTAAATCCTTGTGGAGGAAAATCCGCAGCGTTTATCTCAGAGGAAGTTGTGCTGTAGAACTTTTATTTACCCGCTTCAAAAATGCCAAGTATGAAGCATCACCTACTTCGGAAGACCTTTTAATGAAACGTCTTTAAATCAATCCTACGATGAACGATCTTCTGAGAAAACTTTAGTTTTTAACTTTTGGAACAATAGACATATCTACAGATTAAAATATCCGAAACAAAATACTATAACGGTTAATAAAACTAGCTTAAAAACTTATAAATCCGTACATAAATCTTTACTGGCGCCAAGAACATTTTGTAGTTAAATACAACGGATTTCTTCCTGCCTTTAAAAAAAATATATTTTGAAAAGTTTGGACTGAATAGAACATGTGATCGTAATAGGAGAAGGTAAAAAAAAAGCAACTCACATCACTGACGTTACTGACATTGCTGCTGGACCTGGTCATCGCCATTTTCGAAAAATGGAAAAGGAAACTTGGAATTGTAATTTTGAAGTGAACATCTCCGATGGTGCTCGGCCCCGTATCGACTCGGCGGCTGACAACTGTTCTGTTTGCTTCTTCATCGGACGAAAATTACGTTCAATAAAAAAAATCCGATCTTCTTTACGAAAGGTGGATTTTTAACTAATTCGACGATATTCGACCTGCGGCCGAATGCCTCGATAGGACAGACATCCTGAGGGAAAATACATTTTTGTTTCATCCGTTATAAATTTTGGATGAAATTTTCATCCATCTGTTTGACATGTTTGATTGTTGTTTTTTACCGTTATCATTATAATATTTTACTCTTAATATTGTGACGAAGCTCTGATGAAGAAATCCGCTTAACATCGAGTTTTAACACAAAATATTTAGCCGAGCATAAATGCGAATTTAACATGGAAAGAAACAACAAACCCTTCACTGCAGTAGGGTAGTATAAACATGCACACATACACGTAAGGATCAGTAATACGTTCCATCAAGCTTACATTCGTGCTAATAAATGCAATCACTCACACAAAATAAATTATACAATAAGATTTTCAAAAACGGAACCGGAGATTATGAAAGCCACTTTTAAAGTAAATGTATGGACCACTTTTTTTACACTCGAATAATCTGGATCTCGGTATAGTATTGATGAAAAAACAACACTCAAAACAATAGTAGAATTGATTTGAGGTGGGGTGAGTATGGCAATTTACTTTTCGGAAAAGATAGTTCTACTCACAGAAAGTTTTAGGCACCTATCCGGATTTCGAGTAATAAATACTCATCATCAG